GTTAAATCAATAAGTCAAATCAAATCAAAGTATTTTTGAATTGAATTTAATTAAAATGAACTTAAATCGTTCAGTTGAATTCTACTATAAAGTGGAACTGCAATGTTTTGGTCTGGATTCCTCCTTATTGTAACTCCACAAGCCCCTCTTTCACCCCCCATTTCTGAGGAGTGTCTCAGATCAACTTGTTTTGAGGCTGTTTCTTTAAATCCAAACGAGGTGCTTCACACCCTGCGCCCCTTTCAGCTTACAGAGCGGTCCGTTCTGGTTTGATAGAGGAGTTTATGACTATATAGCGGCACAAAAATAGTTTTCTACAAATTGATTAAAAGATGTCAACAAGGGAAGAATTGTCCATCCAGTCTTAAGCGCCCAGTATGCTCCAGCCGAACTGCCGAAATCTAATCGGATTGTCGCAGTTTCATGACGAAAATTGCGTCATTTTGTTTGCGTCGTTGACTTTTTGGTCCCTTCTTGTCGCAACCCATGGGCCAAACTTTTCACCCCCCCTCCACATAAGAACTTATTGTGTGACTGGTCAGAAGTTTGTGGGAGTGTTTGTTTGTGCTGAAAGCATTCGGACGCTGCATTGTGCTTCAACCAATCGCTTCAAAAGAATTTTTAAAAATCCTACTCGTTTCCAGAAGCCGACTGCCACCTGAAAGCAGACATTTATAAAGAGAGTCAAACGGCCAAAAACTCACAGATGGAGATAACAGACGTTGTGCACGAAGGAATCTGTCTGATAAAAACTGTGGAACTTTAACCGGGACAGATTTGTGGACATATAACGTGAGGTGACGGGTCTCCACTTTTTTATTTAATTTTATTCCGCATTGTAGACTTAACTGGGAAGACACCCCGTGCAGTGAAGTATACACTGTAAAAATGAAATGTTGGATTTACTTAACCATGTTACGTTACCTGGTTCCACTTAACTGAGTTGAGTAAATTCAAAGCAATATACCAGTTTTTTACCCAAAGAACATGAGCATGTTGCTTTGAATTTACTCAATTCATTTAAGTGGAACCAGGTCACATAACATGGTTAAGTAAATCCAACATTTCATTTTTAGAGTGTACCCCAGCAGGAAGGAGCTCGGCATGGTGTGTCTCTGTGGGATAAATCTTGTGCCAGCARGAATTGAATTTGAATTGCTCAGATTGAATCTGAATGTGCATAATTCAAAATTGAATGCATCAGTTTGAAAAAGAATTTTACTAAATTGAAACTGAATTTAATGGTTTGAAATTGAATTTAAAGTTTTGTATCTGAATTAATTTGCTTCGTAACTGTATTTTGGTTTATTAAAAATTCAGTTTGATTACTTTCACTCTCAGTTCAATAATTCAATTTCAGTTCCAAAATTCAGATTTTTGTGTCACATCCTGGTCCTTGAGAAAGCCAGGCAGAGTAAACACAGATCCACAGATTTACATTTCACTTTGGTGAAGTTTCCTATCTGTAATGTAACAGAATTGATGCAATCCACTGTAAAAGTGACAAAAACAAAGTTATTTTATTTCAGTTATTAATTTTAACTATATGTAGAAAATGATACATTTACATCACATCATGGATGCTGCTGCTGACTGATCCATGATGTGATGTAAATGTAACATTTTCTATAGGTAAAATTAATCACTGCAATAAAATAACTGTTTTTGTCACTTTTACAGTGGATTGCATCAATGCTGTTACAAACAGAAGCTTCACCAAAGTGAAACGTAAATCTGTGGATCTGTGTTTGAGTACTCTGCCTGGCTTTCTCAAGGACCAGGATGTGACACACAAATCTGAATTTTGGAACTGAAATTAAATTATGGGACTGAAAGTGAAAGTAGTCAAACTGAAATTTTAATAAACCAAAATTCAGTTTCAAAACAAATTAATTCTATTTCAAAACTTTAAATTCAGCTTCAATTTAGTAAAACTCATTTTCAAACTGATGCAATCAATTTCAAATTACACACATTCAGATTCAATCTGAGCAATTCAAATTCAACTCCTGCTGGCACAAGATTTATCCCATATATCTCAGGGGCTATGAAAGGTGTGTGTGAAAAGGAACCACATGACTGTGTATCATCTGGTCGGCAGCTGATAGACCATACTGAGCGCTTTACATGTTGGAGCCAGAGTCTGACCCAGAGCAAGAAGAGAATGAAGACCACCAAATTGTAGTTGGTATGTCCAGACATTATTTGACCATTCTTGTTGCAAATAATTTGACTCAGTAGTTCAGCAAACATCATAGAAAAATAAATATTGGATTGAAAAATATGACCCAAACAGAATATAAAGATATCTATGTAGAACTGGTAGACTAAATGCAACTTTTCTGCWCTCCTAGAGACTCTTAAGTACACAATAAAATGAATTTAATGGCTAAAAATAGGTGGATTTTACATGATATGTCCCCATGTATGTTTTTTCATGAATTGATCTGATTTGAACAGTCGTTTGTGATCCACGCTCCCTTACCATTATACTTCCAGGTSACATCTCTCTTTTCATGGCTGTGAAGCGACACACTGAGGTGAGCCGTCTCCCCCTTGTTAACAGTCAGTGTGAGGTAGTTTGGAATAAAATTAGCTGAAAAAGACAACGACGTTTATTTTCTGAACAAAAACACCATTAAAACCCAGTTGTGAAAAAGAAAAATAAACGTACCTTTGCCAAGGTTGTTGATCAGGGTGACTTTAAGTGGGGGCACCTCCTGAGGGGTTTCACAGTAAAAGATGCCGATRTTATCCAGATCACAAAAATCTCTGGCCACAGCCTCCTTCTCTCTGGGTTTGTAGACTTTAAAACTCGGCAGTTTGGGGAATATGAGAATTTTGTTATCTTTCCTGATGTTCAGCTCAGCCTGGGCTGGCCTGCGCTCCCCGTTGATACAGGAGATTGTAAAGTGACTGACGTGGGGGACCTTTGTCGTGGACATCATCGTCAAGTCGATCACAGCAACTGCAGGAGAGGACAGTAACGTCTTACATTGTGGCGAGTCATATTTTTATATCCAAGCAGGGTTGGGCAAAGTCGTATTGTGTGCAATTAATTGTCAGAAAAACTTTAATTGATTATTTTTTGACACCACAGGGCAGACTGGCTGGAGATTTCCCCTCTGTCTGCTCAATGCTCCTCTCCGCTTCGAATATGACAAACATTTTTTAAAGTTCTGTAATTTATTCATCATAACTCTGGTTTTACTTGGTCTGTCAATGCAATTTAAAATTTGATGTATAGCCTGACGTCTGTACTTTTGACACAATTTGGAACAGATTTTCACGGAGAGCAAATCTTTCCCATTAGATTGATTTAAACTGGTCATGTGACGAGGACATGACCAGGGACTCCAGGGGATTAACCCTCATATTGATTGTTGTTGGCTAAATACCACAATTAATCATAATTATTATCACTTTTTCCCCCCAATATTGCCCAACCCTATATGTCCAGGAACCTAGAAATTAATTTATTTGGTAACAAGAAACACAACTGTGGGATTGCTCTGCTGCAGTCTTTTAATTCTAAGGCTGCAGTTTTTAGTCCAGGTAGTGTCAGGAAGAGCCTCTGGCATTAAAACAAGGATTCATGCAGAAAATATTTATTCTATCTAGACTGCTGTCTTTAGACTTTACTTGATTTCGAAAATATTCGACAAATCCTTAAAAAAAGCAACGAGATAAACAATGAATGGATCAATAAAAATATGTCTTCATTGTCTAATTTTGTTTATCATTTCAAGAACAAGTTAGTAATTATAGAAAACACGTCAAATTAGGCTTTTTCTCCCAAAGTCCACAAAAACAGTCAAATTATTGCAACGATTTCAATCAACTTAATCCTAAAATCTTCATAATCAACATGCAAGACACTCTTATAGACTTATAACGCAATAGCATCAAATAAAGTGACTAAGATTATATTTTGGGGTTGAAATACAACTTTATCTGRCCAAACGTGCCAAAATCAATCAGGTCAGTTTGCCCAACATCCCGATTTTTTTTTCTTCATCTTTGCCTCAGATCCACAGAACAATGGGAGGAAATAAGGATGAGCTGCTTGTTTTCCCTTAGAGTTCAGAGACCTAAACTACACAGTCATGGGTAAACAAAACAGATTTTTAATACGTCATTTAATATATATATATATGGCTTTAGCTCGTGCCAATATTTTAAGCAGAATCAAAGTTTCCAAAACAAACGTTAAGACTTTTGTGCCCCCCGCCCCACCACCAAAAAATAAATAACTCAAAGTTTGAAAATAAGTTGCCTCTCACCTGATACATCAAAAAAGCTCATCCCCAACACCCACACAATCCTCATGATTTGTATAATCTCCATCGTTTTCTCTCTTAACTCGGATTAACAGAACTCCACACCTAAAACGGTGGTGCCGCGTGCGTCACGAAGATGCGCCTTTTTACGCATAACGTCCTCCAAAGCTCGTGTTCAGGTGTAAAACAAAAACAAAAACAAAAACA